TCAGTTAGTTTAGTGATATTATTATTTGCGGCTTGCCATTTTTCAAGGTTGAGAAAGTAAGAAAGAGATTTTTCCCCTTTTTCAACCCATTCTGTTCGTGCTCTAATTTGAGCACCTTTGGCTTTTAATTGGTAGATTTTCTCAATCTCTGTTTTTACGGTAATATATTCCTTTAAAGTTGTTTCATCTAAGTTTTCATCTATTTTATGATCTAGTTCTAGTAGTCTTTTTTCTAAGTAAGTAAGATCTTGTTTCATTAAGGCGGCCTTCCGTAAAATTGTACTGTAAACTAATACTGATACGATTGTACAGTATTCCGTAAAATTGTACTGTAAACTAATACTGATACGATTGTACAGTATTCCGTAAAATTGTACTGTATAATACTGATACGATTGTACAGTATTCCGTAAAATTGTACTGTAAACTAATACTGATACGATTGTACAGTATTCCGTAAAATTGTACTGTATACTAATACTGATACGATTGTACAGTATTCCGTAAAATTGTACTGTATACTAATACTGATACGATTGTACAGTATTCCGTAAAATTGCACTGTATTTCGTATACTCTAGCACCGCTGTGTATGTGACGTATTAATTAATTAAAGCTTTTAATGGGTTGTAATTGCAAGTAACAGTGCAATTCAGAACCCCTGGGTTCTGCAAAACTGTTTTACGTCGTTATCAATAAACCAGTCACAACGACGTATGGCTGATGGAATACCAGGGTAGAGCCATGCAGTTCTAAGGAGTTCGAGAACGAGTTCGAACTCTGGTTGCTAGGATACCAGCATGCGTCTATTTTCAAAGACATCTCGTTGACGCCTAGAAGAGGATGGACTACATGTAAAACGATGGCTGTGTCGTTCCGTACTCTTCTGGTAGTGGGACTTGTACTTCTGGTCATTGGGACAGCTCTTCCAGGCGCCCAGGTTAGTACAAATACGTACTGAAGTGGACATTACACGGGGTATTCCGTATCGCCCGAGGTGCCAGCCCGACCGCGGGTCGGATCGCCCGACGGCCGAAGGGAGATCCAATCCGCGGGAGGGCTGGGACCGAGGGCGATGCGGAATACACACCGTGTAGTAGTTTATTTATGTCATACCCACCCGAGAAAACAGACATTTCAATGAGAAATGTGCCAAAATTTGATGAATCTAAACAAAAAATATTGTAACGGCGTCAATTCCATCATCTGAATTCGGCGCTCGAAGGTTCGACAGCTAGGGCGCACACTACCTACCACCCAAAATTTGTGACCCTAGCATGTCCAGCCTAGCCTGAGTGTCAGCCTTGTTAGCTTTCGTCCGCTACCCAAGGTCCGCTCCCCGTTGGTCCCCCGTTGGCGGGGAGCGGATCTTGGGTAGCGGACGAAAGCTAACAAGGCCGACACTCAGGCTATGTCCAGCCATGAGATATCAAAACCGGAAGTTCTGCTGCAGTACCAACAAAAGCCTCCAGGGAGCCCAAAATCTAATCATTTCTAGATCTCATCAAGACCTACCCACCTACCAAGTTTCATGATAATCCATATAACGCTTCTTGAGTTATGCTGTTCGAACGTTCACAAACAAACAAGCAGACAAATTTCAAACAGACGGACAAACGCAACTGGAAACATAACCTTCTTGGCGAGGATAACAATTGGAACTTATAGGATATTAGAGTTTTCTCATCATTTAAGAGACACCTGCCTCAGAGCCTCTGACTTGATGAGTACTTCTTCTCGTCGCTAGATGTAGCCAGTGTAGGTGGCGCTTTTGCGGCGAGAACACAATCCCACTTCATTCAAAAGCTCTGAGGAAGATGTTGTGCCGTTAGGAAAGGCACTTAACACGACTTTACTCACTGTACGGTTGAGTGGCACTCATTGCATGGGCCTTTCGGCTAATCGTTGATACTGTGTCCAAATAGAAAAAGAGAAACCCCGGTAAAAAAAAAGCCTAAAAACACGCCAAAAATAACCCTAAACCTAAACCTCTGCTTGGAGAGTTGTGTCCAAACACTGTTGACAAATGGACTTATATACCATTATTACGTCACAGTTTGTTTACCGCAATGAATGCCGGTCAATCGACGTTTATATTGTACAGGGGTGCGTAGCGCGGTGTGTGTTTGTGTAGCGTTAGCCTAATATTTATTTTAATATAAGGCTTTTAATACAGTACTACTTTCGTCTAATGTCACAACTAAATCACCCATGCGGCATATAATATTTAATGCTGTGTCAACACAACTAGACGCAGCAAAAATCAGACATACGTTACGTTGAAAACTCTGAAATGATCGTTATTCTTTAACTGACCGTTCTAGAATGTTCTTTAGAACAGGTAAACAAACAGTGACGTTATAATGGTATAGGTCCATTTAAGCTAGGTTTGGTAACGACCATGTGTACATGTCATATACAAACTGCAGGCCAGAAGCAGAAGGAGGGGCGCATCGAGAGCTCCTAGACGAAGAAATTGCGAGTCGGCTGAAGACTGCCGGGACGGGGAGTGCTGTCCTGAGCGCCTGGGCCGCTGTCGGCGCCTGAACACCAGGGGACGGTACTGTCAACTAGCCGACCAGTCGGCCAGCCGCTTTAGGTGCCCATGCGAGGCCGGGTTCCACTGTAGGCCGTTTGAGTACGTGAGGTATCTGCCGGTTCACCGCCAGAGTGGCACATGCGCAGAGGGAGAGCCAGGGGTAAGCTGACTGTCAGAGGAGGTAGAAGGCATATCCCACAATACATTGCAGTTTCTGGTCCATCAAACATATACTAAACTGACTGTCAGGGGTAGAAGGCATATACCACAACACATTGCAGTTTCTGGTCCATCAAACATATACTAAACTGACTGTCAGGGGTAGAAGGCATATACCACAACACATTGCAGTTTCTGGTCTATCAAACATATACTAAACTGACTGTCAGGGGTAGAAGGCATATCCCACAATACATTGCAGTTTCTGGCTATCAAACCATATACTAAGCTGACTGTCAGGGGTAGAAGGCATATCCCACAGTCCATTGCAGTTTCTGGTCTATCAAACATATACTAAGCTGACTGTCAGGGGTAGAAGGCATATCCCACAGTCCATTGCAGTTTCTGGTCTATCAAACATATACTGTAATTCCTGATTTTTTCACTGTGCTGTTATGTTCACTGTTTTCACTGACACTTCTGTACCGTGAACTTATCATTACAGTTAACAAATAATTCCCGGACTTTCTTTTTCCTGCACCTGTCGCCACCGTGAATATGTCCATTTTTCTCAGACTGTGAACTTTTGCTACCGTGAACATGAAGTGAATTACAGTATATGGGCAAATTGGGCAAAATTTGTTTCACTGAGGCATCTTGCTTGTTCCAGTCATGCAAGTACCAGATTTATGTCCTACCCGGGCCGCGATTACGTTCGATACGGGTGTTCCGGCCCGTGTGATAACTAGCGGTACGGCCCGGGGGTTCTTAACGCGTACAGCCCGGCCCTTCCAAATGTTCCATAGAACGATTCGAACGCGTTTCGCCCTAACCGCGTGCAACGCTTTCGACAATTCGAATGCAAAATTCGGACGTTGGAATTGATGTTGTTGCGTTTTTTGGGATTAGGGACACCAAATTTTTGCTCATTTCGCATTGAAAGGCGTGTTTTCGTGGGTGGGTATGACATAAATAAAATACAACACGGTGTATTCCGCATCACCCTCGGTCCCAGCCCTTCCGCGGATCGGATCACCCTCCGGCCTTCGGCCGTCGGGCGATCCGACGCGCGGTCGGGCTGGTACCTCGGGCGATACGGAATACACCGTGTTGTATTCTATATTTATCAACCAAGGATTGAGGTGTTCAAAACTTATTCTTTCCTAGAACTATCACGGAACTCGCTGTCACAAAGTACAGTAGTGCAGACATTATCAGTAGCTTTAAACGATGGTTAGGTTCAGATGTTAAAAGGCTATAGGTGTGTAACAAGGCGTTCGGTGTAATGTAGCCAGCTCGCGACCGCCGGTGTGTTACACCGAAGCCTTTACTGAATAGTGGGGTCAAGTGGCGTAGCGGCAGAGTGCTCGACTCGGAACCAAGAGGTCCCGGGTTCGAGTCCTGACATGCCACCGATCTTGTGCCCTTGGGAAAGGCACTTTACACTACTTTCCTCGCTTAGCTCAAGTAAGAATGAGTATTGTCCTGTTTCGTATTTGTCCTCTAAAATAAGTTCATAATGAATCATATAACATGAGTGTGCCGTCACCATGTCTAGTCATGTAATGTTGGAATAAAAAAAACGATACTGAATAAGGTCTTACATCAGAGGTTTTTATGTTTACCGATGGAAAACATATTGTTTTTGCTATGTTTCTTCCTCTTCTTCTTCTCCAAACACTGACCTCTGACCTGACCAATGACATGATTTGTTGACATCTGTCACCATGGTGACTGGTGTTGGGTTACATAATGTTGCAATTTCATGGTCTACTCTGCTCCTGTCACCATAGTAGTAGTACATGTATGAACTATGATTGTGAATGTGTTTGAGTAAGAATTAACAGAGCAGACCATATCCGAAGGTAAACATTATGCATTTGCTTTGCAAATGTTACTTTTCTAGTTTAAATG